TTATATACCACTTAATTCAAAAGAATATTTCTAAGCAGTTTGCAAGAAGCAAAATGAAATGGACCACTGAGTAGCTCAGTCGGTTAGAGCATAGTGCTGATTACACCAAGGCTGTAGGTTCGATCCCTGTTTGGGACAGCTGCATATAGAATCATAGAATCATAGAGTTGGAAGAGACCACAAGGGCCATCGAGTCCAAGCCCCTGCCAAGCAGGAAACACCATCAGAGCACTCCTGACATATGGTTGTCAAGCCTCTGCTTAAAGACCTCCAAAGAAGGAGACTCCACCACACTCCTTGGCAGCAAATTCCACTGTTGAACAGCTGTTACTGTCAGGAAGTTCTTCCTAATGTTTAGGTGGAATCTTCTTTCTTGTAGTTTGGATCCATTGCTCCGTGTCCGCTTCTCTGGAGCAGCAGAAAACAACCTTTCTCCCTCCTCTATGTGACATCCTTTTATATATTTGAACATGGCTATCATATCACCCCTTAACCTCCTCTTCTCCAGGCTAAACATGCCCAGCTCCCTTAGCCGTTCCTCATAAGGCATCGTTTCCAGGCCTTTGACCATTTTGGTTGCCCTCCTCTGGACACGTTCCAGTTTGTCAGTGTCCTTCTTGAACTGTGGTGCCCAGAACTGGACACAGTACTCCAGGTGAGGTCTGACCAGAGTAGAATACAGTGGCACTATTACTTCCCTTGATCTAGATACTATACTCCATATTTCTGCATTGCAGGAGGTTGGATTAGATGAACCTCAGGGTCCCTTCCATCCTACAATTCTATGATTCTATTCATTTAAATCATTGCTATGAAAAGTCCCTGGCAGTTAAGAAATAAAACATATAGCAATAAACACAAAAAATGAGAAAGGACAGCAAAAATAGTAACATTATCAAACTTAAGATAAAATCAATCATTTGAAAAATAAACATATAATGAAATCACTTGGATGGCTTTAAAAGAGAATTAGACAAATCAATGGAGTATCAATAGTAACAATGGAGTATCAATAGTATCAATGGTTACTAACCACAGCAACTATGTTCTCCCTTCACTGCTGCAGGTAGCATGTCTTTAAATACCAGTTGCTGCGAAACACAGGAGGGCAGAGGGCCAATGGCCTGATCCAGCAAAGCTCTTCTTATGTCCATATGTTCTTATAATATTAATGGCCTCTCGACAACAGAGGGGAGTGGAGAGTGGGTCTCAAGACCCAAGGAAGAGCAGGGCATGGGGGTTGGGGGTGGATAACTACTGTCACATCTCCTGTTGTCATTTAGCTTTTGTCCAGGTTGCAAAGTGGCAGCCCCAAGTTGGAGGAGCATTAGTGATAGGGAGGAGTAGTGCTGAGACTAGCTCACCCTAAAGAGCAGGCCTCACCATGAGGCAAAGTGAGGGGGCAATATGGGAGGCAGAGCATTCAGAGCTAGGAAGCTCTAGCACTTCTGATAGTGACAATAACATCTCCATCCCTTGGGAGCTCTCCCAGGTCCTGAAGAGCCTCCTGCTTGCCCCTAATTAAAGACCTTGCTCCAAGACCACCTCCCTCCCTTAGGAGCTCTCCCAGGTCCTGAAGCGTCTCCTCTCCAATCTTCCTCCCTAGAACAGGGATAGGGAACCTGCAGCCCTCCAGACATTGTTGGACTCCAAATCCCACCAGCCCCAGACAGTCAGGCCAATGGCCGGGGTGCCGGCAGTTTCATTAATAGCGTTTTTCTGATGTAGGCTTGGGGGTCAGGGTGGGGAAGAAAACGGAAGGGATAGGGTAGAACCAAGAGGGAGTGTCACATACAGCCAAGATCACTCTTCCCCACCCCTTGACCAATGACACAATGATTCTGCAGATATACTGACTGGTGTCAGGAGAAAATTATCCCCTGGCATGATTTGGGTTGGGGGGGCATTGGCAGGGAGATGCAAGGTGTCACACCCACTTTAAAACACCATTGCAAGAGATTAGGGGTGGCAGAGGGTGAGGAAGAATGAAGGACTAAGCAGATTGTCCTGGGTGCTAATGAGTAGGTGCTCCCCAATAGCATAAAATAAGAACCGACAATCACTTGCAGCAGCAACACTGGGAGTTGTAGTCTAACAACGCCTGGAGAGTCACAGGTTTCTCAGTCGTGCCCTATAGCCTGCCACCCCAAACCTGATGCCTACTTCCCACAGCTGTTGAAATTGTACGATAAAGACCCTAAGAACCCAGGAATCCGAATAGACTGTTCCTGGACTTCAGAAGAACCTGGCTGCTGGTTCAGGTCAATGCCCATCTAGTCCAGAATCCTGTTCTCACGAGAGCTAACTTTTTGGGGAGCCTGCAAACAGGACCTGAGTGCAACAGCAACTCCCACCACTTGTGATTCCTAAAAACTGATGTTTAAAAGCACATTGCCTCTTTAGCATATCGGTAGTCATTATGGCTCATTGACAGACTTCACCATGAATTTGCCCCATCCTCTTTTAAAGCCATCCAAGTTGGTGGCCATCAATGCTTCCTCTGGAAATGAGTCCTCTAGATTAACTATTCACTTTGTGGAGCGAAACTACTTTCCTCTGTCTGTCTGGAATCTTCCAACATTCAGCTTCATTAAAGGTAAAGGTAAAGGGACCCCTGATCATTAGGTCCAGTCATGACCGACTCTGGGGTTGCGGAGCTCATCTCACTTTATTGGCTGAGGGAGTCAGCGTACAGCTTCCGGGTCATGTGGCCAGCATGACTAAGCCGCTTCTGGCGAACCAGAGCAGTGCACGGAAATGCCGTTAAACTTCCCGCCGGAGCGGTACCTATTTATCTACTTGATGTGCTTTGAAACTGCTAGGTTGGCAGGAACAGAGACCAAGCAACGGGAGCTCACCCCGTCACAGGGATTCGAACCGACGACCTTCTGATCAGCAAGTCCTAGGCTCTGTGGTTTAACCCACAGCGCCACCCACGTCCCCAGCGCCACCAGCTTCATTGGACGTCCACAAATTCTAGTGCTATAAAAAAGGGAGAAAAACTTATCTCTGTCCACTTTCTCCACACCATGTATGATTTTATACACCTCAGTCATGCTCCCTCTTCCTTGCTTGTGTTGGTGCTGACCTTTAAAGCCCTAAATGGCCTCGGTCCAGTATATCTGAAGGAGCGTCTCCATCCCCATCGTTCTACCCGGACACTGAGGTCCAGCACCAAGGGTCTTCTGGTGGTTCCCTCACTGTGAGATGCCAAGTTACAGGGGGCAGAGGGCCTTCTTGGTAGTGGCACCCACCCTGTGGAACGCCCTCCCACCAGATGTCAAAGAGAACAACAACTACCAGACTTTTAGAAGACATCTGAAGGCAGCCCTGTTTAGGGAAGCTTTTAATGTTTGATGCATTACTGTATTTTAATATTTTGTTGGAAGCCTCCCAGAGTGGCTAGGGAAGCCCAGCCAGATGGGTGGGGTACAAATAATAAATTATTATTATTATTATTATTATTATTATTATTATTATTATTACTTTGCCACCAAGCAAGCAA